AAGTTCTGTAAATAGTTTGTGATATGATTGGGAAATATGAGATGAAATTAAGAAAGTAGAAGAAAGTAAAGAGAAGCATCAAATCAGAATATGAAAGAAATAAGAAAGGGGAAGTTCAGAAGGGCTCTAATCAAAGTCCTCTGAAAGGATATAAAAAGAAAAGAAGGAAGAGAATTATATCAAGTAGGGATGAGAGGAGAATAGATGGAAAGTTAAGTTGGAGTCTGTTTGCACTTACTGTGAATGGAGGGTTTGAAAGTAAAGGGTTTGGAGTTTGGAAAGAGATTTGAGGGAGGTTTTTTATTCCATTGAGCTAAGAAGGAGATGAGAAAATTTATGTGATTATTCTTTATGATATGGAAAATAGAGAAATATAATTGTAATATGAAATTATTTGAGGATTGTGCGCCAAAAGTCTGCCTTAAAGGCCTATTAGAAGGTATATTTTAGTTGTAATGAGGAATGCAAAAAATCCTCATGACCCTAAAAAAAGCGTGAGAATACAAGATTGTTACTTTAAATATTTGGCAGTACACTAATTGAAAGCAATGGGCCCTGTCATGTGAAGTACCAGTAGTAAAAATGGCCCTTGAGAAAATAGATCCAGATGTGATTGAATTTATTCTAGTCTCATTTTAAGTGAGATATGTTCTTCTATTAGGATAATTGTGGTATTTGACCCTATATCAGTAAATCAGCCCTTAATGGAAAAGATACTTAAGAGTTGCAATTAAGGCAATATGTTTAGAATTTGCAAAAGTAAGTTTTGTTAAAAGTATTTTATCATGATTACTCTATACTGGTCTTTAATGCAATAAATATAGAATGCCAAAAGTAATAAAATGAATGAAATGATTTTTTTATGCAAGATAATTTGGAGATGCATTCAACTAAATTGATGTCATTTGACTTAGAATAAGTTTTGTTTCATGTTTTAAATACATAATATTGTGTATGTTATTGTGTTTCTAAATTTTCTAGTATTGTGAATTTTGGGAAACCATTGTATAAGAAATACTGTTAAGAAGATGATGCAATTGTATCATTAGAAAGCTTAAACTCCTTTTGATCTGGATAGTGTGAAATTATTAATTGTTATCAGAAGCTGTTGTCATAATGTTAAAACATATCAAGTATTTAATTGGTTATATTTTAAAAGGGAAGAATAATAATTACTATCTTTGTGGAATTCCAGAATGTAATTATTTTCTCAATTTCTAATGATTGATTTTACACCAGGATGAGTTCAAACTCAAAAAATAATAAGAAAAAAAGGATATTGAATGAATTTCTTTTGGAAAGGCCTGGTAAACTTTTTATTGTTAACTGTTAATGAAACAATATGAGAGAAATAATAATAACTATATGTAGCCCTAAGCAGTAATTAGTGAAACTTGATATTTGAGGTAAAATCTCTTGGGACTGGAATTTTATATTGATCTGAGTTTTGAATTTGAGTATAAGTGCTTGAATTATCAGGAAGTCAGTAAGCCACCATTAGAAGGAAATGCCATGAGCTATTCAAAGAGAGCGTGATCTGAGAACTGCTGCAGGTAGTTGTCTGTGTCTGAGAAAGTTGAGAGGATGACTTTGCATAGGCAAAGGAAAGATCCTCTTGACTCATTGTGTTATTTCCTTTTTGAATAGGAATGTTTCCCATCTGTTTAATCTTGAGCCTGACTTTGATGCCCTGTGAATAATGTAGAACTTTGCTGTGTAATTGGCTGTTCCAAAAGTTAACTATGACTTACCTGAAATTAAATAGAACTAAGGATGTTTTATCTTGTTATTCCTATGTTAAGTCACTCTGTGCACTTAGGCTTAGACTTGGAACACGAGTTTTGATATTGTTAGAATCATATCCCTCCTTCCTTTCATAGCTAATCCATCTAACTTTGGTAGATAAAACTGTAATTTTAAAAAATACAATGAATCTTGTTACAATGTCCAAGCACTCTGAATTGTTATATTGGGATACAAGTATAAAATTACCTTATTGCATAGCCTGCTTGATGTTCTTTCTATGACTCTGTTGTTTATAAGGTTAGTTCCACAAGGTCTCAACTGGTTATTGCCACACGAACTAATTATAGGAAAGCCAGACTGATTAAGTTTTGTCAGGTTTTACTAAATTATCTAGCATTATCCAGAGAACCTCTACAAGTGACCTGGAACCTGAGATAGTCAAGGAAATACCCACACAAATCTGTCCTGATACATGTACAGAAGCTTAAGAGATGCACAGGAGGCGCTTGCCAGACACATGAAGATCATGGACACTGCCAAAGGACTAGACAGCCCTAAAGCTACAGCTATATTGGATTTCTTTATTCATCCTATTGTAATCTTGCTTGTTCTATTAGTTCTTTGTGTGTTGTGGACCTATTCTCTATTCTATAAGTTGCTTACCATTTCTACTTGGACTGATACTGATCTAGGAATTGTTAAAAAATTATGAAACTATCAGTAGTCTCAAAGGGGGAATTTTTGGGTAGCAAAGAAAGTGAAAGCGATTCCATTTTGTCTCTGGTTCCTTTATCTTGCCCCAACCCTATTTGTACTGTAACTTTTACCTCATCTGCAACCTTCATTATTACTGAAACAGTAAGGACAGTCCTACCTATTAGGGTGGATTACAAGAGATAGTTAACCTGAAGAATAGCCTTTCCTGTTCCTAGCCCCCAGCAACTGGCCTGTTCAAAGGATACCACCTCCCCTATTCCTACCCTGCCAGAGCCCCCACCTCCAGCAATAGTCTTGTCCAATCCTGAGGTATCTCACACCCAATTCACTTCCTGCCTAAATTGAAACCTAGGTAAGCTTTGTCCTTTTGTTCCTTCAGGGAGGACATCTTTAAATTCACACATCCATAGATAGCAAGCATTCTCTGAAAACAGTAGCTTAGGATATTTTCAAAGCAATTTTGCCCAGCTGTACAGAGGCATAAACTTCCAGGGAATGCTCAACTTTGGATCCTTCCTGTTGATTAGGAGAGTGACTAGGAGCATGGTGAGAGAGTTAAATAAGAGAATAAGTGAGACTTTGATGGGAGAAAAAGTGTTAACAGCAGGGAGATTAGGGAAGATTTCACATAGAAGGTAGCAAATGAACTGTGGGCCTTGAAGGGAGATAAGGATTCTGAGAGGCAGAGAGGGGGAGTATATTTTAGGCATGGGGGTGGGGCACTATTCAAATGCATTGAGGCAAGAGATGAAATATTAAGTTCAGGTAAAAATGAATAGTCTAGTTTTACTAGAACATAGAGTGTCTGACGAAGACTAATGTTAAAGTCATAAAGGCAGATTGTAGAAGGCCTTAACTGGCATGCTGAGTAGTTTTATTTTATACAATAGGCAATAATGAGTTATTGCAGGTGTTTTTTGGTGGTGGTTTTTGTTTTTGTTTATTAGCATGTGACTGACATGATCAAACCTCTGCTTTAGGATGGTTATTCTGACATTTGTGGAGGGAATGGACTGGAGACAGAAAAGATTGGAATTAAGGAGACCAATTAATTAATTGACCAATTAATGGAGTAGATAGAACACCAGGCCTGAAGCCATGAAGACCTGAGTTCAAATTAGTGACTGTGTGACAAATCACTTCACCTCTGCCTCAGTTTCCTCATCTGTAAAATGGAGAGAATAATAGTACCCCCTCCCAGAGTTGTTGTGAGGATCAAATGAGATAATAATAATTGTAAAGCACTTAACAGCACAGTGCTTGGCACATAGTAAGTGCTATATAAATGTTAACTAGTATTACTAATTAGCAGCCTATTACAGTAGTCAAGGTCAGAGATGTTGAATCCTTGAACAAGGATGATAGCTATGAGAGTGGAAAGAAAGGGGCATATATGAGAGGTAGGCTTACTTGACAACAGATTAGAGATAGGTGATAAATGGAGTGGAGAGTCAAGGATAATTCCAAGGTTTCAAACCTGGGTGACTAGAAGATTGGTAATGTGTTCAGTAAAAACTGAAAAGTTTGGAGGAGGACGAGGTTTAGGATGAAAGGAGGTAGGGTATTTGACATAATGAATTTGGGATGACAATGGGACATTCAATTAACAATATCCAACAGATATTGTTGATATGTTGATATGGCAGTAGAATTCAGGAGAGAGATTAATGATCAATACATAAATTTGGAAATTATTTGTATAGAGATAATAATTGATCCCACTGGAGCTGATGAGATCTCCAGTGTAGAGAAATAGAGAGAGTAGAGAAATGGAACCAGGTTAGAGCCCTTGGGGGATAATGATTAGGGATGAGGAAGTGAATGATGATGCAGCAAATGAGTCTGTAAAAGAATTATCAGGAGAATCAAGAAAGTACAGTTACACAGAAGCCATGGGACACTTTCTAGGGCATCATTACCAAAAGCTGAATAGAGTCCATGTATATTACTCCTTTGTCTTGCTTTTTTTTGTTTGTATAGCCTTTTCTCTTTAAAATGTCTCTTCCCCTTTTATCTACCTATCCAAATGCTATACATCCTTCAAGGTGTCACTTCTTCTATGAAGTCTCCCTTCTCTAAATAACTCATTATGATCTCTCAGACACTCAAACATATATTATCTTGTATTAGTCTTTGCTTCATATGCATTAATCTTGTCTTTCCCATGACAGTATAAACCCTATGATGATAAGGACCATGTTTTTATTTCTTTTATGTACCCTACAAGAGGAATAATATGGTGTAATATATAGAGGGCTAGCCTTAAAGCCAGGATGACATAGGTCAAAGTCTGCCTTTCACACATACTCTCGATGTGACTTTGGGCACGTCTCTTAATTTTCCGGTGCTCTGGGCACTTATCTCAAGCTATAAGTTGTAGAGAAGGTGCTGACCTGCATTGGCAGAGGAGGTTTCCTTACCTGGGAGTTTCTTATACCAGATGTAAAATTACAGATCCATTCCCTATCACTATAATTACTATTAGAAAATTGTTAATAGTAGTAAAATTATGAAAATTTCATTTCATTTTCTTCCAGACTTTGGTGCAAATTTTCAAAATGATGAGTTCGTAGAAAACATCATGAACATTGCAGATATTGTGTTTTTACCAGGTGAGTTTAAAATTGTATTACTGTGCTAATTATAGTTAGTTGAATATACTTAGCTCTGTATTTTGTTGTTTTTTGTTTCAGTTGTGTCTGACTCTTTGTGATTGGGGTTTTCTTGGCAAAGATACTGGTATGGGTAGCTATTTCCTTCTCTGGCTCATTTTACAGATGAGAAACTGAGGCAAACAGGGTTAAGTGACTTGCCCAGGATCACACAGGTAGTAAGTATCCGAAGCTAGATTTGAACTCAGGAAGACGAATTTTCCTGACTTCAGGCCCAGCACTCTATCCACTGTGCCACCTAGCTTCCCTAGCTCTGTACTTTACTACCATGTTAGTTACACTAATTGCAATATCAATAATAATAACTCATCTACGTATAGCACTTTGTGGTTTAATGAATAGCCCTGTAAGATAGGTGGAAATTATACTTAGTAAAAAATAACTAACCTTTAGAAAGCAGTGGCATAGTATCTTTTAAATTATTTGTGTGAGACAATATGATTCTGAACTCTGGGAGTCAGGATACTAGTTTTACCATTAACTAGTTGTGAGACCTTTGGCAGATTACATGATCATTTTGACCCTCAGTCAGAACTTGGATGTAGATGGCATTCTTATTTATTTATTATTTATTAATTAGACAATTGGGGTTAAGTGACTTGCCCAGGGTCACACTGCTAGTAAGTGTTATGTGTCTGAGGTCGGATTTGAACTCAGGTCCTCCTGACTCCAGGACCAGTGCTGTATCCACTGCGCCACCTAGCTGCCCCCAGGCTACTGCATTTCTAAGGGTTGTTTTTTAAATTTTTTATCCTTGGCCACCCAGGGCTACCCTAGTTGCATCTAGGAATAATTCTCTGGGTATTAAATAGATTTTGCCCTGGTAAGGTTTTAAAATGGGGAATCATTCTAATTTGCACAAGACCTAAAAGTATCATAGCAAAGGTAGAACCCTACATCCTTTGCCCTGATTTCAGGCTCCTTGAGGGTCCTGCGTTTCTAGCAAGTGTTCTAGGTCAGTGGGTTAGGTTTGTGAGGGTACCTTTGTTTGTATCAGGCCAGATTGCTAGTCCTTTCTGCTAGGAAATACAAGCACTTACCCTATGTATCCAATCTGTTGCCAAATCTTGTCATTTCTGTCTTTGCAATATTTCTTGAATGTATCCTCTTCTCTTCAGTCACACAGATGCCTCTCTTCACAGACACCTTCACTTCAAGCCTAGACTATTGTAATAGTATTCGCCTATTGAATCTTCTTTCCTCAAGTCTCTTCCCATTTCAGTTCATCTTTCACTAAGCAGTCAACTTGATCTTCCTGAAGTGTAGGTCTGATTGTGTCGCCTCCCTCAGGAATAAACTTAAGTGACTTCCTATTACCTAGGATTAAATATAATATCCTCTGTTTTGATTTTACAACCCATCATGACTGGTCCTTTCTTTCACACTTTCCTCCCTTCCACATACATTCTAATCTAGCAATACTGGCCTTATTGTTCCTCCCATGTGACTGTCTTTCTCCAAACTTTGCACCTCTTCGTTGGCTGTCCCCCAGGCTGGGAATGCTCTCCTTCTCACTTTGGCCTCCTGGCTTTTCTGACTTCCTTTCAAGACTAAGCTAAAATCTCACCTTCTTTGAGAGGCTTTTCCTGGTGTCCTCCCCACCCCAACCCTCCAATGTCTTCTGTAAGAGATTATAGTTCCTTTACACCATATATATTTTATATACAATCTTTATATGTTGTCTCACATTTAGAATGTGAGTTCCTTGAGGGCAGGGGCCATGTTCTCGCCTTTCATTGTATCTCCACTGCTTAGCGCAGCGCCTGACACATAGGAAATGCATAAGACACATTTCTTGATTATTGACCAAATGCTGCCCACTGTCAAATGTGAGCTACCAAAGCCTCCCACCAGAGGTCTCCATTCACCCAGGAAGACATTTGTCTGAGCCCACGATATTCAGGTAAAACCCAGGCAAGGCACACAAATTCTCACACCGAGTATAACATGGAATAGGATTCCTGTACTATTAAGGGTGATGAGATGCTGATGTTGATAGTCTTCTATGAGCTTCCAATGGCTAAGTCATAATTCTTGTGTGAATCTTATGGGACTCCCTAGCATTTCCAATTTCAGGGTAACACTGGTAGGAAAGAATGGCTCTGGAGAGCCTTCATTTGTTTATGTCTGTGGGGGTAAGGAAGCTAAGAAATCAGTCTAAGTCAGATAAATCACGGTGGAAATCTGCTTATGAGTTCATTCATCCTCAGATCTGCTGGCTACCGTGCACCTGAGAAAACATTATCTGACAGGTTTTTCCTCCTTGGCTAGGCAACAGAGACTTGTGAAAGAATGAGTTTTATTAATAGCTCACAATTTGTATCCTCATATCCCTTCTCCTTTAAAACAGCATCAGTCAATCAACATTAAGTGTCAGCTATGTGCTAGACACTGTCTTAGCCTTTGAATCAGTTGATACAATGAGAGTTTTAATCATTTGTCTTGGATGCCAGATTTCTTCTACAAGACATACTGTCTTTCAGCATCAACCATTACGATACATCATTAGCATTCTAGACTTTTCCCTTTTTACTGTATTAACAGATTAGTCATAAACATTCCTTAATGAACATCTTTTCGTATATGTGTCCACACCATCTTCTCTGCCATGTGTCTGGTTTTATTCATTTTGACGCCAAAGAGCTCATGAGATACGACATTTATTAAGCCTTTAAATTTTTTTGTTTTTCATTATTTCCACCTCAGAATCTACTGAATTAAAGGATCTTCAGTTTCAAGAAATGTTTAAAATATTTGAAAAACAGGCAATTAAGTTGCATCGGTAAGCGTTATTCAAATAACTAATTTTTTATGACTGGTAATTTTAAACGTATTTGTTGTATCTTTCTCATTCTTTTGTAGATTGGATGAATCTTATAATAAAAAACATGAACAGCAATAAAATAACAAACTATAATCTCTTTAGATACATTATGATTATATAAATGTAACTTTTGCCCAGCTATAATTAATGTGTGTAAATCGTTATCATTTCTATTCTGTATTTTATTACATCTAGAGAGGCTTCTCTAAATGCACACATTATATTTGTGATTTTTAATGGCAGAATAATGATCCATTTGCTAACACGTCATAGGTCATCAATCTGGGGCTGCAATGGACCTTAGAGAACAGCTAGTTCAATCTCATTTTGCAGATGAGCCAGACAGTCAACTCACATTTATTAAGCACTTACTACACTGGAGATGCAAAGAAAGGTAAAAAAACAGTTTCTGATGTCAAGGAGCTCACAGGCTAATGGAAGAGACAACATGCCAATGAACATGTACAAATGAGATATGATAGACAAGATAAATTGGAGATAGCCTCAGAGGGAAGGCACTAAAATTAAGGAAGAGCTTCTCATAGAAGATAGGACTTCAGCTGAGACTTGAAGGAAGCCAAGGAATTCAGGCAGCAGAGGTAAAGAGGGAGAGCGTTCTGGATCTAAGTGACGGCCAGTGAGAACACTTGGAATCAGGAGATGGAGCATCTTGTGTGAGGAGCAGCAAGGAGGCCAGTATCCCTGAATTACAGTGTGCGGAGAGGCTGTAAGGTGTTAGAAGACTGGAGAGGTAGAAAGGAGTCAGGTTATGAAAAGCTTTAAAAGCCAAATGGAGGACTTTATATTTTCTTCTGGAGGAAATAGGGAGCCACTGGAGTTTTTTGAATAGGAAACTGAGGTGGCAGAGTGTGGGCGCTATGGTCAAACCTGTGCTTTAGATAGGTGACAACTGAGTAGAGGATGGATTGGAGTGGAGAGAAACTTGAGGCAGGAAGACCAACCAGCTGGCTAGTGCAATAGTCAAGGTGTGAGATGATGAGTGTTAGATGAAAGAAGGGAGAGATATTACAAGTATCACCCTCAGCTCAAAGCTTATTTGAATAATACTCTTTTTATTGGTGGAGAATGATTATTCTCCCCTCTGATTGGAGAGCTGGAAGTCGAAGCAATAAATGCCTCCCAAAGCCTTCATTTATAGGGGGCTCAGAACTTTCCAGGTAACTCTCCATTCTCCATCAGTGTCTCTGCTTGATTCCAGCTCCACAGAATATCATGCCCCTGCGTTGGGTAGGCCCCTGGTGATTCCTATTCTCCCTCCATGTTTTTCAGCATCTTTTTGTGTATCATCTTCTCCCATTAGATTGTAAGCTCCCTGAGGGCAAGGGGTATCTTTATTTTTCTTATTTGCATCCCCAGCACTTAGCACAGTACCAGGCACATAGTAGGAACATAATGTTTATTTAATTGAATTGAACTGAAAAATTACTGAATGATCTTGTGTGAGAGGTGGAATTGGTGAAAGCTTGAGAGGAAGCCTGAAGATAGGATCTGTCTTTCCTCTGTGTGCTTGCCAACTCTACTCTTCACACAGTCTAAGAACATTGAGTAATCCATTTCTGTCAACAAGGAAACTCCAATTCAAATGGCCTTTGAGCCTTGGGTTATATTTCTCCCCTGGGCTGAAACTTTTTACAACCCTTTACAAAAATCAGTAATCAGTGTCCACCAATGAAGAGAATCTTATGCAAATGTAGTTTAGCTGCAGGTTACATGAAATTTGGACTTATTGGACTTGACAATTGATTGATTGTGTGTGTGTGTGTGTGTGTGTGTGTGTGTGTGTGTGTGTGTGTGACAGAGAGAGAGAGAGAGAGAGATAAAGTGAGAGAGTGTGTCAGAAAGGTCAGGAATGACACCTAGGTTGTGAGCCTGGGCGACTTGGTTGGTTGATTAGTTGTTTGGTGACTAGAAGGATGGTGTTACTCTCAACAGTACTAGGAAAGCTAGGAATAGGGGAGGGTTTTGGGGAAAAGATGGTGAGTTCAATTTGGGACATATTGAATTTAAGATATCTATAGGACATCCAATTCAATATGTCCAACAGGTATGTGGTGATGCAAAGGTCAGGAGAGAGGTTACAGAAGAACAAGTATATTTGAGAGTCATCTGCATAGATATTATAATTGTAATCATGAGAGCTAATGAAGTCATCAGGAGTAATATTATAGAGGGAGAAGAGAAGAGGGCTCAGGAGAGAGCCACTAACTAACATAGTGGGCATGTCTTAGATAAATACATAGCAAAAAAGCCAGAGAAGGAGTGGTCAAACAAATAGAAAGAGAACCAGCAGTGTCATGTAAACCTAGAGAAAATGTAATATCAAGGATAGTGCTGGGAACATAGCTGATGCTTAATAAATGTTTATTGAGTTGACTTGAAATTGAGAAGAGGGTAATTGACAGTGTCATAGGCTATAGAGACCAAGAAGGATGAAGACTGAGAAAAGACTGTTAGATTTGCCAGTTAAGAGATCATTAGATAAGGAAACTGATAACCAGATTGGTTAAATTATTTGTCCAAGGTTATTCATATAGTAAATGTGGCAGAACCAGGGATTTGATTCCATGTCCTCTGACTCAAAATCAATTATTCCTTCCTTCCTCCCTCCTTCCCCACTTCTTTTCTCCCTATCTCCCTCTTCTCTTCCTTCCTCCCTTCATTCTTTCTTCCCTTCTTCCCTTTCCTTTTTCCTTCTTTTTTCTCTTCTTTCCTTCCTTTTAAATTATGTACCATTTCATCAATTTTGTTTCATCTTTGGGCAGGGGCCATGCTGATCTTCTTTATATAATTTTAATTTAAGTGTATTGCTGCCAAAGTTAGCACAATGCAATGATCTTTCCATAATACCATTTCCCAGCTGTTGAATATTTGAATTCCCTCCATATTTTTGCTACTTTATGCATAGCCTACCCATAAGCATCATTGTAGAACTTTTCTTTTGAATTAATTCCTTGGGTGTGTGTGTGTGTGTGTGTGTGTGTGTGTGTGTGTGTGTGTGTATTCCCAATAACGAGATTGCTAAGTTAACCAATATAATCAGTTTTATGATTCTGAATATGTAGTACCAGATGGTCCTCCAAAAAACCCCACATTTATTTGCCTTGCTACTAGCCATGTATACATATTTTCCCATAATCTACTCAACAAAAATTAAAATTTTAATTAATTTTGCTAATTAAATGAATGTGAAGTGATACTCCCCAGTTGATTTAATTTGTATTTATTTATTGGTGAGGCTGATTATATTTCAGATGTTTAGTTACTATTTCTCTTTTCTCCTCTGTAAATTGCTTATATCCTTTGACTCTTTGCATAAACATGAACAATAGTTTGCATTTTATCCTAGAGGAAATAAGAGAGCTATTAACATTTTTTGAGCAGAGCAGTAACATGCTTAGACCTGTGTTTTAGGAATTTGACAGCTATGTGGAAGATGGATTGAAGACAGAAGAGACTAGAGGCAGGGAGACTAATTAAAAGGCTATTGCAAAAGTCCACATGAGGGGAGATGAGGGCCTGACCTAGAGTGGTGACCTTGAGAGTAGAGAGAAAGGGATGAATATAAGGGAGATTATGTAAGTAAAATGGAAAAACTTGGCAACTGATTGGATGTGTGGGATGAGAGAGAGTAAAAAATCAAGGATTACTCTGAGATTGAAAATAGGGAAATTATGGAGTCCCTGGTGGTCATCCTTCCCCAGATTCCCCATCCACGATGTCTGCTGCTGGACTCTAACATCCACCTCTGGGTGGTCCTGCCCATTATATTCATCACCTTCTTCGTGGGCATGATCTGCCATTATCTGTCCATCCTGCTGTAGAGCAACAAGAAGCTCACCCAGGAGCAGGTGTTCCAAAGTCAAGTCTTAATTCGAAGTGGAGTCCTCAGAGAAAATGGAGAATACATTCCCAAACAGTCTTTCTTGACATGAAAGTATTATTTCAACAACCCTGAGGATGGAAAACAAAGAGGAAAGTAGTTCCACCGTCTCTTATGACAGATCCTACCATGCTCACAGACATGATGAAAGGAAATGTAACAAATGTACTTCCTATGGTTCTTATTGGTGATGGATCAACATGACTTTCTCAGGATTTGTAACAACCACGGTCACATTTCCTCTGACGCTCCGATTTAAATCCCTGCTATAGCAAGGAATTGAATTGCTCACTTTAGATGCATCCTGGTGGAGTTCTGCATCGTGGTACTTCCTCAATGCATTTGGACTGTGAAGCATTTATTCCCTTATTCTGGGCCAAGGCAATACTGCAGACTAATCCTGAGTGATGCAGGAGCAGCAATGGTCATGCCTTGCAGACACCAACAAAGCTTTTAAGACTGAGTGGGAATCTTTGGAGCTTACTGATCATCAGTGGGCACTAGATGATGTTAAGAAGAGCTCATGGCCCAGGATCTCCATTTTGAAAGCATGTTCCGAAAGAGCTACAGACACCCCTTTTCTGAAGGCTCAGGTGTGGTAAACCAATACTGACATCTCCAGCCCACTGCTGGGCTCAAGGAAATCATAAGAGTTTTTTTGTTGTTTGTGTTTGAAAAGGTCAGAATAAAGGGGAGCCAAGGTTAGACATGTTGAAAAAAAAAAGAAAATAAGGAAATCAGAGGAATGATTGGGTTTAGGTAATGAGTTATGTTTTAGAAAAGTTAAATTTGAGATATCTATGAGTTATCTAGACAGAAAGGTCTATCAGGGAGTTGAACATGTAGGCCTGGAGCCCAGCAGAGAATGTATGTTTGGGAATCATTTGCTTAGTGATGATGATTGAATCAATGGAACTTAATGAGATCACTGGAGAGAAAACATAGAAAGAGAAGAGGGTCCTGGACAGGACTCATAGGGAATGGGTCATTTGTGATGATCTTACAAAAGCTGGTGAGGAGGATTGGTCAAACAGTAGGAGAATCAGGAAATAGAAGT